GCAGTGGATGCAGGCAGTCTCTGCTGCAGCGCGTGCACTCGTCTGTGGGTTTTCGTTGCTAAGTTGCTGCAGCAGCAGCAGCAGCAACAGCAGCAGCAGCAGCAGCAGCAGCAGCAGCAGAATGAGTGTCCTTGCTGCAGCAAGCGCTGCTTTGGTGTAGGGATAGTGACTGTAGCTGCTGTTGCTGCTGCTGCTGTTGCTGCTGCTGCTGCTGCTGTTGCAGGCAGCAGCAGCAGCAGCAGCAGCAGGCAGCAGCCGAACCCCCTGGCTTTAATGGCTTTAGGCTCCGCGAGTCCTTTGGGTTTAAGGGTTTAGGGTTTAGGGTTAAGGGTTTAGGGTTTAGGGTTTTCCTTCTGCCAGCAAGTAGCTGCTTGAGTATAGATCTTTTACGCGTGGCTTCTCAATTGATAGGCGAGGGTTTAGGGTTTAGGGTTTAGGGTTTAGGGTTTAGGGTTTGGGGTGTATGCGCACCCCAGCAGCTGCTGCATCTATAAGTAGGTAGTGAAGGGGACCTCACTCAGGCGATTGCCACATTGGCTTAGCTAGCTGTAGCTAGCTGTAGCTAGCTGTAGCTAGCTGTAGCTAGCTGTGGCTAGTTGTGGCTAGCTGTAGCTAGCTGTAGCTAGCTGTAGCTAGCTGTGGCTAGTTGTGGCTAGCTGTAGGTAGCTGCAGCTAGCTGTAGCTAGCTGTAGGTAGCTGTAGGTAGCTGTAGGTAGCTGTGGCTAGCTGTGGCTAGCTGCAGCTAGCTGTATCCTGTTGCAGCTAGCTGTGTCTGGGTGTAGCTAGCTGTATTGTACTGTAGCTAGCTGAGCGTCGGTGCAGCTAGCTGGGTCTGGGGGTGGCTAGCTGCGCTTGGGGGCAGCTAGCTGGGTGTAGATAGCTGGGTCTGGGTGCAGCTAGCTGTGCCTCAGCATAGCTAGCTGGGTCTGCTTGCAGCTAGCTGTGTCTGGGTGCAGCTAGCTGTGTCTGGGTGTAGCTAGCTGGGTCTCGGTGTAGCTAGCTGGGGTGTGTTGCTGGTTGCTGCAGCATGGGGGCAGTGGAGGGGGCCTTCAGCTCACTCCCTGCTGCTCTCTTGTTGCCTAGAGTTCCTGCTGCTGCTGCTGCTGCTGCTGCTGCATGTACAGCTCGGGTATGCAGGGTGTTCGGTGTAGTCGGCTGCTGCAGCAGCAGCAGCAGCAGCTGCTGCTGCTGCTGCTGCGGATTCTTTCTGTCGTGTTGTAGTCTTTAGGTTGATAAATTTGTTGTGAAATTCTTTAAATTAATTAATATTTAACAAACAATCTGAATCGCTTTGATGCAGCAGCAGCAACAGCAGCAGCAGCAACAGCAGCAGCAGCAGCAGCAGCAGCAGCGGGAGCGGTCTGGGCGGCGGTGTGTCTGTGTGCTGTTGTTTGTCTTCTACTTTTGTTGTTTTTATTTATTTGTTTAAATTGATTTTTTAATTAATTAATTTAATAAATTTGTTTATTTCTTCTGCTGCTTTGCTGCAGCAGCACGAAGAAGCTGCTGCAGCAGCAGCTGCGTATACACCCCGCTGACGACGCTTACGGCCCCTGAGGAGGGGAGGGGCAGCAAACACTAAAAATTAAAACAAAATTTTAATTTAAATATAAAAATACAAAAAAAAACAACAAAATAAATACTATAACTAAGGCTGTAGCGCCAGCAGCAGCAGCAACAGCAGCAGCAGCAGCAGCAGCAGCAGCAGCAACGGCACCTCACTCACTGCAGCCGACAAAGCGAAGCAGCAGGCGTATGGAGACGGCGGGGGACCTGCAGCTGCAGCAGCGACAGCTGCAGCAGCAACAGCTGCAGCAGCAGCAGCAGCAGCAGCAGCAGCAGCAAACCTCACCCGCAGACAAAAATGTTGACGCAGCAGCAGAAGCAACAGCAGCAGCAGCAACAGCAGCAGCAGCAGCAACAGCAAGGGAACCAACTACAGCGAGAGAAGAAATGAAGGCTTCTCCGTCCCCAGCAGCAGATGCAGGCACTCAAGGCAGCAGCAGAACAGCAGCAGCAGCAGCAGCAGCAGGTGATGCAGCAGCACCAGCAGCAGGAAAAGAAGCAGCAACGCCAGCAGCAAGAACAGAAGCAGCAGCACCAGCAGCAGGAGGAGAAGCAGCAGCAGCAGCAGCAGCAGCAGCAGAAGCCCTCCGTGGTTTAAGTAAAGAAGCACTAAGAGATACATACATCCGCATGCATCGTGCTGCTGCTGCACTGCAGCAGGAGCTGCAGGAGCAGCAGCAGCTGCTGCTGCAGCACGTACGCCGTCGTCGATCTCTAGATGCTGAGCTCGCAGAACTCAAACGTAAAGCCAGCAGCAGCAGCAGCAGCAGCAGCAGACCATCACCACCACCACCACCAGCAGCAGCAGCAGCAAATACTGCTGCTGCTGCTGCTGCTGCTGCTGCAGAAGAAGAAGACGTTCCGTTTTTGTTGAGAGAGGACCCGTTAGTTGCTGTTCCTGCTGCTATAGGGGGCCTCATCAGCCGCTGCAGGCAGCCGGCGCAGCAGCTAGGTGCTTCTCTCCTCAGCAGCA